ATGACGACTGCTCAACAATCGAACAAAAAGCAGTAACTGAAATAATTGTCCCCTTAAGCCAGTAAATAACAGTAAATAACACTGGTCACTCCTTATTTACCTGTACTTCACCCTTGATCTTTGACGCATCATGTCCCACTTGCTAGGCTGCCACTTATATATGTATTTAGTTAGGATAATCATGGGTAATCAAACTTACCGAACACGCGCCTGCCCTGTAACTCTCTGTTCTGGCGAATCACGTAAAACCCCTTCCGACTATCAACGAATCGCGTGTTACTCGGACTGAATACATCAATCATTGCCTTCACTACGGGAAAGAATGGGATAGAGCCGGGAAAATCTCAACGAACGCTTCCAGGTCCAATGATCCATAGTGACCGGTCATATCGAGATCAGCAAACGGGATTGAGCCCTTGCTCAGCCCTATGTATTTTAATGAAGGAGGCGGTGTAGCGGCAAGCTCGCTGCTTACTGCGCGCACGGTGTGGGGTACAAATGTCGTCACGTTTGCCGTCTAGGCCATCGTAGCCCTCCCCTCCTTTGACGTTGGTTAGTGGTACCAGACTCATCTGGGATCATTAGAACACATTCGATTGATATAACGGCTAGTACCCATAGATCTTTGTAAATGGCATTCAAATGCCGGTCACATTTCAAATGGGATAGAATGGGAGATGCAAATAGAAAAGGCTCGATCAACGCTGAATGGTTTATTACCCTCCTCGTACGCATTAATGTCTCATTCGTCGCGTCTAAGTTCTTGGAGCAACTCCAAACCCGAAGAGCGGTGGTGGGTCCGTCACACAAGTAATTCTATTTACTTATACGACTCGATGCTGCACAGGGAGGGTGCTCAGTAGTGCTGTGCTGGGGTATGACGTGTAGCCAAACTAGGGCAGCCCGCTGCAGGAAAAGCACGAAGGGCATTTCTTCACTGTTTCTTGATCTATAAGAGGTGATTTCTTAGGAAACAGCCCGATAGCTTGCCTCACTTGTGGTTGTGTAGGCATTCTGCTATTACATTGTAAACAGTTTGTCACACCAAACACATATAGCGTGCTGCTGTGCCAGGGCAATTCGATGTTAGCATTTTGAATTAATCAAAAGAAATTTGAGCAGCAACCCAAAAAGCCCGCAATAAAAATAGGGTAACGCATCCAATTGAAATGTGACTCCGGCCCATAAATCAGTGGCCCAAGAGCATTCTTCACGATTAGTATCAGAATAGTGAAAATAAAAAATTTATGCTTATTTCGGTAGACAAGAACCTCAAACTATTTGACTCGTTCCAATTTGATCTGAAGCTGTCAGAATTTGCAAAATTTATTGTAGAGTAGGCCTTGTCCAGAAGTTCACTTAAATTCAAAGGGTTTGCAGTACTTATTGGGTTGTCTCATAATTCCTGTCTCAACTTTGAACACTTTTGTTTGTTCAAGTTTTATCTCTTCTAGGAAGCAACTGATCAGCAGCATAACCACCGTCATGGTCACTGATCCTCATGCATTTGCTAGGGAAACCTTTGGAAGCTTTTCCGCCTAGAAATGAAGGAAGCTGGTGGTTGAAGGAGTTTTGAGCGAAGTCTCTTTGGCAGGTTTGCCGTAAATCCTTAATTTTTTCTCTTCGCCATAGCTTTGAATCTTAGAGCGAGCAGTGTCCGATAAAGCGATGCCAGCAGCTATCAAGGTGTGCGAGTACTCGTGCTGATCTCGCTACCTAGGAACGCTGGCTCGAGTTAACTATTGCCCTGTGAGGTCGGTGTCCATTTGGAGAAAGGAGGATCTGAGACGTTTCTGACGGTTCCCTCGCAACCGAAGCCGGCCTGGAGGGCTATTCCACGCTGACTTTGGCAATGCTTGTCTTCATACAGTGAAGTGGTTCCCAAACCAGGCCACCCAGCGAATACAACAAATCGAGAGTATATAGTATTCTCAGAATACGAAAAGCGGACTTTGCTTGAGCTGGTGCTCCCGCTGCGCAGTACCACTGGCGCTGCCCCGTGTTGTTGTCACAGTGGACTCGTGATTCATCTCCACTGGTGACCGATTAGGTTAAGGCTCTGCTTGTGCCGTCGCAGAATGAATTTTCCCCAGGTGGTCAAGCGTGCTTCTCGCTCATGGTCGTCCGTGACCACATGGTTTCCATCAAGACTTCATTCTTCTGCAGTTCTTTCCATCCTGATGGCGTGTGCTGCTGCATCGGCTACGCCCAGGTATCTGCTACAGTACCCTGGTAGTAACGTCCGGATACCACTCCCAATTTACGGTACAAGGGCGCTCATCAAAAAGTGACCGCAGGCCCATGAGGTTGAAGTTCACAGCTCGTTTCGTCTTTGCCGTTGCGATTGGACCACTAGCTCAGTACCCTATCAGTAGCAGAGACTGAGTCAAACACAGCGCTGATCTTCTCTGTTGTCCTCCTTGCAACAGAGTTCATTTGAGGATCGTAAAGCATAATCATTCATTATTGTCGCATTTTTATTTCTAGTTCAATAATTATGAGACAACCCAATACATAGGTTGAGGGCTGTTAGGGTTTCGCAATGACTTCATAACGCTGGCATTTGTTGGGGTTGTTCAGTTTTTTCTCATATTGTTGTGGTTTTTTGTGGTATGTTGTAAGACATTGCGTTTATTGCGAAATTAAATGTAAGAGGTACATACATAAGTAAATAAAAATGGATAAAATTAATAAAAGTGACTAAATATCTGACGAAGCTTATGCAGAGCATTTGAATTAAGTAGATCTAAAGCGGTACCACTGAACAGCTGAACAATCAAATACTAGTATACATATTGTGTAATAAAGCCATAAAGACCAACGAAAAAGAAGTTGGGAGCCGCGCAAGGCCAACCGCCGTGCTGATGGACCGGTCGTCTAAGTAATGAAGCCTACCCATAGGTATACTGAGGAGATGATCCGTAGTTGTAAGCGTTGTATCGAGAATAGTAATT